CTGGCGGCGCCGCCCACGCCTGACTGCCCCCCGCTCCCCCCCCGCCCGCCGTCCCCGTGTCCCCGTGCCCGTGCCCGGGCTCCGCCTCGCGCGTTCAGCCACCCGCTGGCAGCAGAGGCGGGGCTCTGCTGCCCTGGCCGCCCCAGCTGTCCCTGATGGGGCTCGCGACCCTCCTGCCGGCCCGCTGGGTGATGGGCGGCAGCTGCCGGCCCCGGGGCCGGGACGAGCGGCAGCTGTGGGGGGCGGGCACGAGCTGCGGGCGGGACGGCCGTTGAGGGCAGCTCGCGCTGGGCTGTGCTGCGAGGCGGGCGCTGCTGCTGGGTCCGGCGCCGGAGGAGGTGAGCAGGGTCGTGGAGCACGCTCGGGGCTGGGGGTGCCGTGTGAGGTGGGGGTCCCGGGCCACGTGGCCGCTCGGGGCGTGCTGGGATGGGACAACTGCTCTGGGGTAAAGGCGGTGGGGCTGGGATGTGATGGGTGAGAGTGACACCCTGGGGATGAAGCCCTGTTGGGGGGGCGGGGAAGGGCAGGGTGCCCGCTGGGGCTGGGTTACTCCTTGTCCCAGGTGGAGCCTAGTTGTTGCTCTCGGGCTTCCCTTAATTGCTCTCTGCTCTCCAGAACATGTGTTTAATCTGCGCTAGATTTCCCTGGAGATTATTATTGTGCTGTCCAGTTCTTTCTGTCCTGCAGAGCCCCAAAAACACCAGAAACACCTTTGTTGTACTTTGGAGTGTTCTTTGAGTGCTTCCTTTTGTGCTCCAGCTCTTTCTGGGCCCTTCGACCTTGGTAGGACCCCTGTAGTCTCTGCAGAGCCCCTTCCTGAGGCCTCAGTTCTGCTCCAGAACCCTCTGTCTGTTCTCTGACCTTGTTAGTCCCTCGGTGGTCTCCCCATGCATGTCCTTTGCCTGGAAATACAGAGCTAGTACCCGCCTGGGGAGCCACTAATTCCCTTCTGTGCACTCACCGCCTCTTTTTTTTTTTTTTTTTTTTTTTTTTTTTTTTTTTTTTTTAAATTTGCTCTAGGTGCTATGCAGTTCTGTGTATTCCCTCCTGGGAAGTACTTGTGTTACAGATGCAGCAGTTTAGTTTGATATCCTGATTTGCCCTGAAGGGATTGCCATCCTGTTAGAGCAGCCACAGCACATGCAGGCTCGAACCTGTTACAATGCGTTGGGATAGCGTTCCCTTCACAGCAATGTCTCTGAACCATGAGCTTGTGGACACCAAACGCCAGGGTGACAGGATGAATGTAAATAGACCGTTAAAACAAGTAGCAAGGAGCCTTGAAACGGAGTTACCTGTTACAAACTGGAGCTACAAAAGAAGGGACCATCTGCACGGTCAGCAAAACCTGGAAGAACCGCCCCATAACCAGGTGTTCTTGGGAAGCATCCGCTCCAGGGGCAAGGTATATTCCGGTCGGGGACAGAGGGACAGCGCGACCATTGACTCGGTCACCGCCGCCTCGAGAAACCCTCCACCTCAAAAGAAAGAGCAGCAGAGCAGCAACGCATGTGCAGGTATGTAGAAGATAGGTGAGACAAGCTAAGCAATGCTGTAGAAGTTGAGTTGCAAAATGCCCTAGAGAGGTGGCACATGGCAATGGTCCAAATCATGAGTTGACTGAGCTGCTAGAGGCGCTAGCTTTGTGGAATCATCTTTATCTTAAATGCTACTTTTGCAAATTCTTCTGATGAGAGAGGATGGGTGAGCAAAGGGTTGCTTGCATATGTTTCATTTTTCCATGGTGGCTCATTGGCAGTAGTTAATGTAAAGTCTATGATTACTAAAAACCTAAAGTGAGATATTAACCATGAAATGGTGTTAGAGGGGAAGTGTTATCATTTGGAATCTTCCTCGGCCAGTATTTACACAACAAAAAACTAACCTGACTGGGTGACTTGGAGTAATGGGATGTAACAGGGACTGAGTAAATGAGAGTATGAGAACAGGGATTGCACAGATTTCCAGCAAAAGTGCTTTTATTTCTGTATGCTTTGCGTGCTGTTTCTGCTCTGTTCTCATCTGTATGGTAAGAGCTTCCTTTGCTGTGCTGGCGTGGTGTCTTTCTGCCGCTTAACGTGGTTAGGGATAGACAACAGATGTTTTTCATGATGTTGATGTGTGTTGATGGACTGAATATGTTGATGACTAAATAAGAATTAAGTATAAAGTTTTTGAAGAACTTTGTTATTTTTCAGGTTTTCATCAGACTGTTGGGTGCTGAGGATTTCAGTGTGGCAGTGCTCAATTCCTATAAAACTAGCCAGCTTGTCTGCAGCAAAGATCTTTCAGTATGCTAGATAGTGGATATTTTTTTTTGCCTGTAGAGTCTTTGTGCAGTCTAAATACTTCTACCACAGCTATTAATGACTAGAGGGATTACTGTAGCGGTGGACAGCCCCGTGGAATGAAGATGCTCTTGCTCCTCCTGTTCCGTCCTCAACAGGTGAACACATTTATGGGTTTTGTATTTTCCGCCTGTGGTTGTCTTGTGTTTCATTGAGGGAGCTGGGATTATTTAGTGTGGAGAGGAGGAGGCTCGAGGGAGATCTTATTGCCCTCTACAGCTATCTGGAAGGAGGCATTAGTGAGACAGGGGTTCATCTCTTCTCCGTAGTAACCACGTGTAGGACAAGAAGAAATGGCCTCAAGTTGCACCAGGGGAGGTTCAGTTTATACATTAGGAAGAATTTCTGCATGGAAAGAGTAGTCGAGCATTGGAACAGGCTGCTCAGGGAAATGGTGGAGTCACCGTCCCTGGCAGTGTTGAAAAAAAACATGTAGATGAGGCACTTAGGGACATGTTTTAGCAGGATGGTGTTGAAGGGTTTATGGTTGAACTCGATGATCGTGAGGGTCTTTTTCAACCGTAATGATTCTATGATCCAGCCAGTAATTCTGCGTTAGACGTTCACTGCTACCGCTTGCTAGATCTAGATCGCACAGAACTCTGATTCTTTCTCATAAAATCAGAACAATTTGGTACCACACATCCCGCTGGGTTCCAATTTTGTGATGATGATCCAAGAAGATGAAAGTTTGTATCCAAGATAAGTTGTGAATATAATAGGTAGATAAACATAGTCATACCTTTTCCCCTAAAGGCTGCCCATCCCTTTTTAAAATCATTGCTATCAGATCTTGCTACGACTAACCAGGCTAAGTAAATCTAAACTGATGTTCCTCTGCCCTGATGGAGAGTACCAGCTCACATTAGGAAGAAATTTTGTGTGAAGGAAGGAATGGCAGTGATGTGATTTTTCTAACCTTGTTCCGTTCTTGTTTTTCAGGTATAGAATATAACTTTGAGCAGGGCTGGGGCAGCACTTTGACAGGGCCCCGTGAGCGTTGTTTTTGCCATTTGAGGTAAATATGAAAACTTGCCTGTGGTGGAACTCAGCTTCTATCTCGGCTTTCCTGTGCGGCAAGTTGCTGAACACGAGTACTTGCTGCCACCAAGACTGAGAAATACTGTTTTTTATGGTGTGGTCTTTTTTGTTTGTTTGTTTTTTCTCTTCTACTGTAATGTAATTTTAAAGTCATTCTGTACTTAAGTTACAGTGTAACTTCAAATATTTCATTTGTTTCAGGAACTTTGCAGAGGAAATCTGTGCCTCTCCTTGCACAGATATTGTGTACCAGTGTCAGACTAGCTTATTAATTTTGCCAGTACTGATCAAATTGTGCCGAAGCTGGCTTCATTTTCCTTGGTCTTGCCTCAGATATTAAAAAGAAGTATCTGCATCGTGCTGTAGTCTACAATTTGCATCATAGCTTTGCTCTCTTTCGCTCATGTCTGGTTGTTGCTCTCATTCTTTGTGCTGCTGTAGCACATCCACACTGCGTGGCACTAGTGCAGGAGGCGTTGGTTGGGGCTGGACATCCTTGCAGCCACCGTGTAGTGAGGCTGTGTTTCTTCTGCTGCTGCTGCTCTATGCTCCCGTGTCTTCATGGTGCCCTTTCACGGTTTTATTTCCTGTATTGCCAAGGATTTGGGCCTTTCTGAATGGCCAGATCCGTTGTTTTCCTTGTGCCAGCAGTTCTCATTTTGGGTTACACGCGGGGCTACTAAGGGGCGCTCTGTCTCTCCAACCTCGTGGCTATTTGCGGCTTTTCATCTTTGTGGCTGTTACTGAGGCCTCATCAGCTGCTCCTTCCTCTTCTGAGGGCTGTCTTGTTTTGCACTTTCCTGATGTCCTGCCAGGGTTCTCTTCGATGTGGTCACGCGATCTTGGGTCCTTGCTGGCCTCTTCCATCGTGGGCCATGGCCTTTGATTCTCTTCTGGTCTTATCCAGAACATGAGCGCTGCACACTTGTGATTTCATTAGGCTTTCTGGTGCTCAGCATCTTAGATGTGGCTGTAGTTCCTTTTGCGTAGGGTTTTTCTCTATGTTTGTGCCTGTTGTGTGTGTGTGCCTCTGTTTTTGAGGCTGGAACTGCCTTGTTGGTACATATTCACAGTGGTAGTGTGTAGAGTGTGACAGTGAGGTACTGGAATGGTGATTGCTCAGACACTCTGTGCGGCACTTCCAGTTCCGGTTGCCTTTTTGCTTTGTTGCAGATGCAGAGCAGTGTTCTGCGCAGACCTTGGGGAGATGGAGGAAGAAAGGGTTGTGCCCTAAGAAGAAGGTGAGCTGGACAGTTGCTGTTGTGAGGGGAGTGTTGTGATTGGTGGGTCCCCTGATGAACTTTTACTTTGTGCATGCAGGTGTGGAGGAATGTGACAAGCAGCTTGGTCGTGTCTCTGGCAAGCACAGCGAGGTGAGTGTCACTCCATAAGAGGGATTGGAGTGTAGGATGAGCGTCTTGCTGACGCCATCCTCATTGTCCACTGTTGTTCTGCTTCTACAGGTGCTGCTGTGGCAGCTTCCCCGTGGTGACAGAGCCCGGCAGTTGGCAGGGGCAAGCAGAGCAGGTAAAGGCGCAGGAGTGAACACTCCATGGGAATGGGCTGTGGTCTTGCTCACATCACTGCAGCACGTGATTTCCCTGTCTTTGCAGAATCTTTCAGCAAGTTGAGAAGAGGAGCGGTTGGAGTGCTGACAAAAGGTGAGAAAGACCATTGGTAGCTCGAAGACAGTGCGACTGCCTTTGAAGAAGGATGGAGACCCAGAGTACTGCAGACGCTTAGCTGATGGCAAAGTGTGTTGGGGGTGTCCTGACTGTGTGTACTGCCATTGAGGGCAGACCGGAGGCATCATTCGGATGAGCATAGCATGTGAGGCAGATGCAGCACAGTGCATATGTTGGAAAATGAGAGCGGAGAGCTCCCGCCTGTCTGTGGTTTGTATTGCAGCTTTGCTTTCTTTTGCTCAGGTCCTAGTACCGCTCGTGTTGTTTGTGCTCCCAGAGCACATCCTGCACTGCGCAGCACTAGCGCAGGAGGTATCTGCTGTCTTTTGTCAGGCCTCGCTCACCAGCATCGCACTGGCGGATGGCGGCTTGTTCTGTGCAGCCAGATGAAATGGACTCTGTCATTTGTGGTTGGACATCTTTCCAGCCCTCATTGTGGCCTCACCAGTCACTGTTGCTCCRGGCTTTTGCTCCACCACCACTCTGGGCTCTTGTGCCTTCCTGGCCCCCTTTCACAGTTTTATTTCCTGTGTGATCAAGGTCTTGGGCCTTGCTGGCTTCCTCTGCATTCCTGTTCTGGACCTCACTGTCCCCTTTCTGCCACAGGCAGTGGTATTTGACTCTCTGTTCTTGTCCAGAACATCAGAGCTGCACAAGTGTGCTCTTGTGGAGCTTGCTGGATGGTGGTAGCTTGTGTGCGTCTGTTCTGGGGCTGGGGGAGCGATGTAGTCAGGGTAGCAGAATAGAGTAGTTTAACCCTGAAATATTTTGGAGKTGGGATTTCACTAATTTTAAACCCAAGTTTATATATATATTATTATATATACACACACATTTTTTTTCATTTTTTAGTATAGCCTATGAGTAATCCTGGTTTGTATTTTCACACTGTTAAGGTGAAAGCTTGGTTTCTGAAGCCTTCAGAAGAAGCTGCCTGCTTCAAACCAGGCATGAGGAAGATGCAAGCACATCTACACGAAATACATGCCCAGCCATAACGGTTTGTTTTCAGACTGTAATAGAAGTGATGCTGTTTTAGTAAAATAAAAAAAGAAATGGATATGCTGGAAAGTAGAACGGTCTGTTTGCTGAAGAAAGACATCCTTGTGGCGCCAATGCGCATGGGCCGAATGAAGATCGCTCTGCGCATGTGGTCAAGGGGCTGACTCCCCGCCTGTGTGCAAGGGACTCCATCACTCACCCTGTACTTTACTGCCTTCACGTGGGAAGAAGGCTGTACAGTGTCAGCACAAGGTGGGCGCATGTGCATTGCGACCCGGAGCACTGACTTCAGCCATCCTGTAGCTACGAGAAGTACTGCAATGGTTAAGGCCCATGCACGCATGCACACTGCCGCTGCCGTGCTCAGCACTGCTCTCCTGTGTCCAAAAATAAATACTCCAGAGACAGGGCGTGTGTGCAGCCTACGTTCCCACCCCTAAGGCAGCACTTACACATCCAGAAAGTAAAACCAAGTGAAGCAGACAGCTACCCCAGATGGGAGACGTCATCTTAAGCTCCTGGAAGGTGCCAATAGGGACTAGACAGTAACATTTTTCTTGCACCCCCTTGGAAGGAACTGCTTGCCTCAGTCCAGGTAAGGATGGTGGATACACACACATCTATATAAAATAGGGGGTTTCTTATCGCAGAATGGTTGAGGTTAGAAGGGACCTCTAGAGATCATTTGGTCCAAGCTCCTGCTCAAGCAGGGACAGCTATCCTTTCAACATGAACAGGCACTACAGGCACTGTTGTAAAAAATTCCTGTTCGACTACAGGCACTGTTGTAAAAAATTCCAAAAAAAA